TTTTATTTTTTTTAAATTTTTTTTTTTTTTTTTTAAGATAGTCCCTCGCTCACAGATCAGTCTGGTCTTGAACTCAGTCTGTACCTCAGGCTGGCCTTGAACTTGTGGCAATCCTGCCTCAGTCAGGAGTGCTAGGATTATAGGCGTTCACCACCACAGCCACCTGGCCCTGGCAAGTCATAAGTATTATACCTGTAAAAATAAGTGATCATGGGTGGGGTGTAGCTCAGTAGTAGAGCACTTGCCTAACATGCAAGGCCCTGGCTTCAAATCCCTAAAACCTGCAAAAAAAATTAGAAAGTATACCTTTTTAAGATTCCCTCCCCATACTGGGAGTAGAATCTTGTACATATTGGGCAGCATTCTATCATCAACCTACACTCCAAGGTGAAATGTCTGTTTGTGTGTATGCCTGGGATTGAACTCAGGACGTTGCACTTGAAAGGCAGGTGCAGTGCCACTGAGCTAAATCCCCAGCCCTGAAATGTTTTTTTTAATACTACATTTTATAAATCGGGTACAGAAATGCTTCTGGGTTTTGTACATCCGTCTTGGATCTAGCAACTCTGTTGAATTGGACCCAGCAACTCTGTTGAACTACCTATGAGCTGTTTATGGGTTGTCTTGGAACTTCTGGATAAACAATATTATCAATGAATAATGAGCATTCTTGTCTTTCTGATTTTAATACTTTTTTTACAGAGATGGCTAAATTAAAATGGCAATTGAAATAGAAGCAGTGAAAAAACCATAGTTTGTCCCCGATTTTGTTCTGTAGTACTGGGCCTTGAGCTGCATCTGCCATCCTTTTTATTTATTTTTAAAATTTAGCCACAGGTCTCCCGAAGTTGCTGAACTGTTCAGGCTAGGCTGGAAATTGTGGTCCTCCTGCCTTGGCTTCCCAGAATGCTGGGATTATAGGGATGCACCACCTCGCCTGGCTTGTTTTTGCTTTGAAAATGCCTCAAAATTTCCATGGTTAATTGTGAACTGCTTTGGTAGATAACTTATCGGGAGATGGGAAGTATTCAAGTTTTCTAAAAAATCTACGTAGATAGTAGTTTGCTGATCTATAGGAACTATAGATTTCCTTGAGTAATTTAATGTAAGTAATTCTCTTCGGATGCACTACTGTACCCTATTTAGTCGTGACAGACCATATTGTTTCCTACAGTTCTGCATTCGCTCTAATATTCCATTACAGTGAATTTCCTTCCTGAATTTACCTACTTCAGAGACACCGGTTGAAGGATGAACCTCCAAAATGAGAGCTGGCTCCTGCCTTCTAGGTCACTGTCGGCTGCGGAACGTAATTAGTACTAAGGTGATTGTCCCAATAGTGTCACAAGACTGCAGTAGAGCACCTACTAACTATAAAGTAGCTTATGGGACAATGGGGATTCTCTTAGGTAACCTCCTAATAAATATTTTTAACGTTTGCGGCTTCCACGTCGCAACTAAAACCCGGTAACCTAGAACACTCTCGTAGGGACTAGGAACAACTCGCAGAGGGTCTTTCGGGACGCGCATGCGTCACCGGAAGTTCCTGGTTCTGCCTCTTCCGTCCAGTGCGGCCGCTAATTGGTCCGTATGGCCATATAAGAATCTGCCCGGAAGCGCGTAGCTCTTTTTCCTCAGCTGCCGCCAAGGTGCTCGGTTCTTCCGAGGAAGCTAAGGCTGCGTTGAGGTGAGATCCTCACTTCATCCGGCGACTAGCACCGTACCCGGCAGCCCGCACCATGGCCTCCGTTTCTGAACTCGCCTGCATCTACTCCGCTCTGATCCTGCACGACGACGAGGTCACAGTCACGGTGAGTGTGGGCCGGGTTCGGCGCTTAGCCGACTTCCGGCTTCAAGGCGGACGTGTGGGCCCAGCGCTTCCGGTCTGGCCTAAACCCTAATTCCGGGCGGCGCACGTGGGGTCCGCGGTACTTGGGCTTCCTGAGCCATACCTGCCTGACTACAGCGCATGTGCTCCTCATACTTTGTTGTGGTTGCCTTGGCTTCCTTCGGCCTCGGTGGGCCCTGTGGCGAATGCGCCGGCTCTGCCCTCCCTCAGCATGGTCTCTAGAAGAGCTGCGTGGCTCAGTTCCAGCACCTAATGGCAGCTCAGGGCCCTGGCGCATGGGGAAGCACCCAGTGCAAATATTTGGTCGTAGTAACCGTATGAACTGTAAAGATGTAGACTAAGCAGTCATGAAAAGCAGGTAGTTTGGATATAAGCGTTTCGGATAACTTGATTTTTAACTTGCAGTTACTTTAGAGATGTGATTGGGAAAGCTCTCTGATGGTTTGGAATTTTGTTTCAGGAGGATAAGATCAATGCCCTCATTAAAGCGGCTGGTGTCAATGTCGAACCTTTTTGGCCTGGCTTATTTGCAAAGGTAAGGTGATCCTGGAGAAGGTAGTTTGGGAAGCCTACTGATCTATTAAGTCAGGTGTGTGTGTTTACTGCATCTTCTGTGTGTTTTGTGGCATTTATCTCTAGTTAATGACGTTTCAGCTTGTGTCTTAACGTGGATTCTTGATTTCAGGCTTTGGTTTCCTATCCCTTTTTTTTTTTTTGCCTTTTGAGACAAGGTCTCTTCGCACTTTAGACTGGTCTTAAACTCACTATTGTAGCTCAAGCTGGCCTCGAATTTGTGGTGATCCTTCTGCCTCAGCCTCCCAAGGGCTGGGATTACAGGCAGGTGCTACCATGCCTAACTTGCTCCCTCTGCTCTGAAACAAGGGTAAAAAATTCTTACCCAAGTTTTTCCTTCTCAAAAAGGGTTACCGTGGAAATAGCACTACTGATTCCAAGCAAATCTTGTAGTATGGTAATCCATGTGATTTCATGGAAATTGAATTTGGTGGCCTTTATTGGCTGTTCTCTGTATTTTGGTATGTAAAAGACTGCTAATACTGGGAGGGTTCCTTCGTGGCCATGAAGCTTGCACTGGCTGTCTTCCATGGTATAGGACACTGGATTTCCACCAAGTGAAGCTAATAATAGCATCTGACCAAGCCACTTCTGCTTAGAATTTGTGAAGATTGATTATATTACATCTGTGTCATCTTGATGGATTAACTTTGAGAAGATGCTAGATGCTTAGCTGTCTGCACTTTATTTATTTATTTTTTTTTTGAGACGTTTTTATTATGTAGTTCAGGCTGGCCTTGAACTCAAGGCAGTTCTCTTGCCTTAGCTCCTCCTGAGTGCTGGGATTACAGGCGTGTGCTGTCATGCCCTGCTAACATTCTAAAAATTTTAAAGCCAGCTGAAGTAGCACATGACTACTATCAGGAAGGCCGAGGCAGGAGGATCACAAGTTCAAGTCTGGCCTAGGCAAGTTAGGTGAAATCTTGGAATTTTAAAAAGCTGGGAATGAATCCCCAATATCACACAAAACACATAAATATTAATAAATGTAACAAGAACTGCAGAGGGAAAGGAGAGGGATTCAGTTAATTGAACCTTTGTATATAGCTGTGTGA